GACTGCGAAATAACAAACATTTCTTGCAAATCAGCAAATATATTGTATTAGGCCGTATTCTGTATTTTTGTGGCACGATATCGTTCAGTTCCGTTGCCCGGTTTCGTGCACTATTTTGAAATAAGATAAATAGTTAGGATAAATTATACAAAGTCCAAATCCGCTTGTTTGCACTTTCCAAAACCTGCAGTTTTCGAGTATTTCTTCTTCGAAAATTCAATAAATCGACATCTTTCGCTCGATCTTTCGCAATCGATCGCCGCCATTTTTGTTCAGGATACTTGGTGTAATAAACACTATAAATGGCGATTTTCGCGGGCTCACGCTCGTTCTTACATGAAGTTTCCAGTTTAGCATTTGTAGACATGACGTCTTCTGATTCATGTTCAACTCGTTTTGATGGGAAAAATGGCCGACTTACAAGTTTTAGTGTGATTTCATATCAAAAGTTTTTAGATTGTCGTAGTATTTGGCTAACACTAGACGGGGAAGAACGCAATGTTGCTCAAAGAAGTTTGCAATTTGTTAGCGACAGCATGGAAGTAGCACGGTCGAAAATATCGATGCAAATTTTTTCTTATCATCGAGGTTCAACTCGGCATTCACAAATAGCAGTATGATCAACCGAACTCAAGAGCGTTGTCAGAATATGCCTTTGCTGCCCTTCGCCTCCTTCCTCAAAAGGCCCTGGGGACGAGGTTGGTACATTCAACCTCTGGTATCGATATTATTAATTGAAGAAACGGAATCAGATGAATATGAGTGCGGCAGCTAATTCATGGATTCCCTCAATCCCCACTTGTTGGCTTGTTGCCATGCGTTTGTTAGGTTTGTATAATTTGCAAATCAGAAAAGTCGTATTTCACTGAATCGATTATTAGTTTATTGATATTTTTTTAGAATTACTGTTATTTTTCTTATATGTGTTTTATAATTATATATTGTCATATTGATTGCATTGCCCTTAGCCGCTGCCGTTATAACGCCGAACGTTTATAGCAGAACGTTTTATGGATGATGACATAGAAACGTCTCAGAGTTCACAAGAGACTGAACGAAAGCATCCACGTACAGTACACAAGTGCAAGACTGAAAGAAATGTATACAGGCCTAACATTGAGAAACAACTTGCAAAGACTGTTGCAAAACATTGTACATCTGCTTGGTACAAGAACTGGCCACCACATACATCAGATATTACTGGTGAAAACATTAGTATCACCTCTCTTGTTTAATTTTATGGCATGGATGCTTGGGTTTTCAGATGACCCAGAAGATGCTGACTACATTGAATTAGATAACCAAACTACATCAAAGATTTTTCTCTGGGTCAAGATTTGGTACATACACCCTAGCACTAGCAATGACCGTTCGGCAGATGTTTGGTTGTTCTGGCCTGATACTCTCACTATCTTCGACAATGGCTTATGATTCAGCTATTGCACAGGCAACTATCAACACATCAACATTATTCCAGTAATATCTGATGCATGTGGAGCCCAGTTCTTATACCAAGCTGATGTACAATTATGCAAGTTGTTTGTCAATGTTAGGCCAACTGTATACATTTCAATCACTGTTGCACTTGTGTACGTGGATGCTTTCGTTCCAATGTCAACATCAGAATCAGACTCTTGTGAACTCTGAGACGTTTCTATATCATCATCGGATCATCCATAAAACTTTCTGCTACACTAAATGCTTGAAGACTGACGTACTCCGCATAAACAATTTCACTCTTGTTTCATAACTTTGGTCTATGGAAAACAAGTTGTGGAAACCTTTTACACATGTACTTTTGATAACATTGTTTATGGTATTTCTTTATCAGCAATTTGAATCAAAATACTTTCATCAGCTTTCTTTGTTGCAGCTTCTTTCCGTTTACCACCTACTGTTTCCGCAGACACCATTTTGTCCTAAATAATAAAAAAACCATGCATAGAAATCACACAACCTATATAACGGGAGCTGCGAAAGGCAATGCAATCAATATATAATTATAAAACACATATTAGAAAAAATATCAATAATTGTAAAACAAATAAATCAATAAACAAATTTTTGCAAAATTGCAAATTATAAAAATGCATGGCAACAACACGTGGCGATTCCATGATTTTGCTGCTGCACTCGTACACACGTAAAATTCTTACATCCTTTTAACAAGTTTGCCAACAAGCCGTCAACAAGTTGTATTCGCACTGCTTGCACAAGTTGTCAACAGGTTTGAAACAACTTGTTGTAACAACCTTGTCGAAGTTATCAGACTTGTTGCAAGGTTGTTCAGACAAGTCCGTTACATGCTTGATATAACAAGATTGTTACAACCTTGTGTTGACAACCTTGTAACATCCTTGTTATATCATGGTTGTAACAAAATTGTTAGCACAGTCTTGTAACAAGGCTGATAATGCCATTAAGCTTGTTACAAATTGTTAACAGCTTGTTTCAAACTTGTTACAACAAACTGGGAGCAATTAGTGTGAAGACAACTTGTTGACAGCTTGTGAACAGACTTGTAACAACTTGTTTGCAGACTTGTTACAAGCTGTGCATTTTTACATGTGTAGGCGAACTCAGTGTACACAGGTAAAAATGCACAAGTTGTAACAAACCTGCAGCAGATTTGTAGCAATGCTGCTCCAACAACTTGTCAACAGGATGTGTTTGCACTGCTTGTTCCCAGCTTGTTGACAAGTTGTCAACAGCTTGTTGACAACTTGCTACAAGGTTGTCACACTCAATAGACTTGTTACAAGTTGTTCCAACAACTTGTTATCGTCCTGCAATTCAACAATTTGTCAACAAGTTGTGAGTGACAAGCTTGTAGCAACTTGATATAATAACAGAATTTTTGCAACTTGTTAACAAGCTTGCTACAAGTCTGTTGCGAACACATCTTGTTGACAAGTTGTGAGATTTTTACGTGTATAGATCTCAGCATTTTCTTTACAGGTGGAGTTTCATCTGATTCCGTTTATTCATCAATAATATCGATACCAGAGGATGAAGGTACACCTTCTTTGTCCTTATTCTGACAACGCTCTTGAGCTCGGTTGATCACACTGCTATTTGTGAATGCCGAGTAACAACCTCGATGATAAGAGAAATTGCATCGATATTTTCGACCGTGCTACTTCCATGCTGTCACTAACAAATTGCAAACTTCTTTGAGCAACATTGCGTTCTTCCCCGTCTAGCGTTAGCCAAATTCTACGACAATCTAAAAACTTTTGATACGAAATCGCACTAAAACTTGTAAGTGGGCCATTTTCCCATCAAAATGAATTAAACATGAATCAGAAGACGCCATGTTTACAAATGCTAAGCTGGAAACTTCATGTAAGAACGAGCGTTAGCCCGCGAAAATCGCCATTTATAGTGTTTATTACACCAAGTATCCCGAACTAAAATGGCGGCGGCGATCGATTGCGAAAGATGTCGATTTATTGAATTTTCGAAGAAATACTCGAAAACTGCAGGTTTTGGGAAGTGCAAACAAGCGGATTTGGACTCTGTATAATTTATCCCAATTATTTATCTTTTTTCAAAGTAGTGCCCGAACCCGGACAACGGAATTCGTTTTCTAAGCGACTTTTCGAGTTACCGTGCCACAGAATACGGCCTATATTTTTCACGATTTTGCAAATTTCAAAACCTTTTTGAGATCCAAAAAACGTCTAAGAACGTCTAAAAGAACGGAGCAAAGTACCGACGTTAATGAAGGTAAGTTTGTTTTTAATATAATATATTGTTTGGTTTATAATTGCTTTAAAAACTGATATGATGGTTGCGTATATAAGTGAAACAAGACAGCATATAATTTGAGTGTATTCCTAGGCAGCCCATTTATTTTGTTTAAGTGGTCTGCCTGCGCGCGGGCGTGGCATTGTATAGGATTATTTCCTATAGTATTATTTCGGAAATAATACAACCATACGTACAATGCCTCGCCCGCGCGCAGCCGCGCAGGCAGGCAACCATAACATTGGGCTGCCTATGCCCTATGGTATATTCTTATTAATTGCCCTTTTTGGATTTTCTGGTTGATTTTTACATTAAATTGAAGCTTATATTACGTATAATAACATACCTATCATATATATGTTTGGGAAATTGATCATTTTGCAATTAAAAGTGATATTTTGGGGGATTTTTCAATTCATTAAAACTATTCTTAAAATTATCGTGTTACCATGACAATACTTCATGTTTGGAAAACATAATAGTTTTGTCAGAAAGGCGAGGGTCTCTGCATGCATGTATTTTCTAGTTTTAATTTAACTTAATAAGTATAAATACATGAAATGGTTCTGGGAAAGTATCAAGACAGCTAACCAATGTCGCATGACGGCCTCGTTTAATTGGGGTTTAAGAGGCAAAATCAATTATACTGGCGCAATCAACGTCTTTCAGGTTCCGTTCGACTTTAGAGATGACGTTACATGATGTCACACCCATTACACTCTTTCGTTCAGAAAAAAAACAACAGCTGAACAAGTTAACCTGTTAAAATATAGAATATAATAATAATAATAATAATAAGCAGGGAAAAGAAAATTTATGAAAGAAATAACTGCTCGATTTTATTATTTTTATAGTTCTTTCACTAATTAGCATGTCATAGAGTTCGTTGTCTTTTGCATTTCATTCATGCCAATCGTAATAAGTGCCCTACTCACGTATAATATTATGTTTACCGATAAATTATGGTAACCGTAGACAGTTTCATTCACGGAATCTTAAAGAAAAATAATTTTGAACCTTCACGGTAAAGGAATTTATTTAAGGATATATATTTTTTGTAACAACGTTAAAGCTAAACGAGGTACTTTACGGCTGATATATGTTTATATTTTCCGCTGTTTATATTCGAGTGTGCATGGGAAAGTCATAGTTTGGAGATGCTTGCAAGCTGTAAAAGGTAGTCAAAGACTACAGTTACTGGGAAACTTAGACTGACCTTATTATAGAGCTAACTCGATTTAAAGCTTGCAATGGTAAGCATAAAATATATCCAACAGTCGTACTGCATGCTATATATAGAACTGCTGTGATAGACTAAGTAGGCCTATACTATATTTCTCAACACTTATATTTATTTAATCAAATCTGCCAGCTACTTATGTCCTCCTCACGTTTCCCACTCTCTAAATACCTACTAAACAATTATATAAATCTTTCCAAATCCTCATTCCTTAAATTATTCATATAAATTTCCCCAATCCTCATTAATTAATCAATTTCCAATAGCTAGATCTTTCGGCAACGTACGATAAATGAGAAACTTTACTGTCACAGTGGTCAAACATGTAAATAGAAATCCAAGTATAAATTCCTTAATCGAGACTCCCATGCAGGTCACCAAATTGTTACATTGGGATTACAACTGATGGATATCATGGAAAGGTTGTGACCAATTCTCCAGTTATTTGTGAAACGTCACCTTTGTTTTATTTCGCTCAGTTAGTGACAGTGTGACACTTCACTGAACTGTAGATGAAACCGTCTAGCTCGTTGATACAGCATCGATCTAGTAATACGAAGGTCGCGGGTTCGAATCCCAGCCGCGGTCAAGTAGAATTTTCTGCTTGCCTGGTTTGGTATACACTCGTCTTAAAACAACTCAAAAACCGCTACAGAGAGAGAGAGAGAGAGAGAGAGAGAGAGAGAGAGACAGAGAGAGAGAGAGACAGAGAGAGAGAGAGACAGAGAGAGAGAGAGAGAGAGAGAGAGAGAGAGAGAGAGAGAGAGAGAGAGAGAGAGAGAGAGAGAGAGAGAGAGAGAGAGAGAGAGAGAGAGAGAGAGAGAGAGAGAGAGAGAGAGAGAGAGAGAGAGAGAGAGAGAGAGAGAGAGGTCAAAGCAGTTGTAATCCGGCCTAAGTCGGTCTAAGTAGGGTAAAGCATGGTTAAAGTATGTCAAAGTTGTTGTAAGGTGGGTTAAGTGGGGTAAAGGGAGTTGAAAGCATGTCAAAGCAGTTGTAATCCGGCCTATATAAGTTGGTCTAAGTAGGGTTTAGCATAGTTAAAGTATGTCAAAGTCGTTGTAAGGTGGGTTGAGTTGGGTAAGGGTTAAGCATGGTTAATATATGCCAAAGTCGTTGTAAGATGGGTTAAGTTGGGTAAAGGAAGTTCAACAGCATGTCAAAGCAGTTGTAATCCTGCCTAGTTGGTCAAGTAGGGTTAAGCATGGTTAAAGTATATCAAAGTCGTTGTAAGGTGGGTTAAGTTGGGTAAAGGAAGGTGAACAGCATGTCAAAGCAGTTGTAGTGCACCGTAATGGTCCGGAATAAGATAATGTATACGGATCCACTATGTCCCTGCAAGACTAAGTACTTTTCCTATAAATTGATAAATGTTTGCGTTAAAAAAAAGGCAGATGGAAAAGGAATTGGACGCTGATATTCGGTAATTTTGTTTATCTACTGATATACTTTCTGAATATACAATAAAAAGAGAGCACAATTTTCCATCGCAGTGGCACATTAAATTTGCGTGCACATATTATGTAAACTTTGCAAACTTTTTATTCTGGATCTGACTTGATGCAAAATATACGAACATTTCCCGAAGAAATCAGTAAGTATGGCTTTATTTCTTTGTGCTAATATATCCATCAAGGCGATGAACTGTTTAGCGTTCATTCTGTAGGCAAGCAATGTGCTTCTATGAGTTATTGAGTTTACCGTGCTTCTTACAGCCCGAAATATTCCCATTGTCCGCATGGTCGTTTAGAACATTTGGCATTAATGTCTTAATACACGGAGGCAAAATGTACTTAAGAGCTCTGAAATGTTGAAACAATATGATTTCGTGAATTTACCGGCAGTTTTAATAATAGCCCACCTGATCTATTCGTCAGTAATGCCTTATAATTGTACAAGGAGTCAAAATGTACTCAGTTTATTTTGTTGTTATGTGCCAAGACAATGAGTATAGTGTTCATTTCTAGATGTTTATAGTTTAACAACAAACGTGGAATGTTGTTAAATCAGGCTTACTGTGATAAGATTCGTAGAGCAACCCAGTGTGGATTGTTGTCTGTACTTATTGACTTACCAGCAACTACATGTAATCTCCGAGCCAACGGCGCAGAGCGCCGTTCCGGGCGTAAGCCCGGGGCGAGGGTACTAACCCCCCCGGCTATTTACACCCGGGGAAACGAAAGCATTAGCGAAGTCTAAAGTTCATCAACGATCGCGGGCGTGACCAACGATCTTGAGTGGGTGGTCATCCTCACTGATCTCAAAAATATGGCTGATTGCTTGTAGAAGTGTGATAAGCAAGATTTCAGTTTTAACTAGAAATACATGCATGCGGTAACCCCTCGCCAATATTTTCCAAACATTAAATTAACATGAAGTATTCAGAAATGGTCGACACTGAACGCAGACTCGCGCTCAAGTGTTGCCATGACAACACGATATCTTAAATTTTTAATTTTTTCATATTTTTGTACAAAACTGCAAAATAGTTGAAAGATTCATACTTTTAACTATAAAACAATAAATTTCCGAAATATACACTATAGGTATATTATTTTGCATTTTGTGAGCTTCGATTTAATGTAAAATTTAACTTGAAACGCTTCGTGAGATTTTTGAAATGTTCATTCAACTGAACTACATTGTGTCATTCCATTTAATATAGGCATCCCTCCTATTGAGGGGTCTGGAAATCCTATGGGAAGAGAGGGGGTTTTTATCTTAAAATTTCCTAGAGGGTAGCTTAAGAAATTTAAAAAAAATAGAAAAAATTAGGTGTTTTAGTGATATCCAAGGGGATAAAAACGATATCCTAAAGGGGGTATAAAGAAATCCATGGGGTAATTTCCAAAAATCGCATTCAAGGGGGTTCTAAAATTTTTATATCCTAAGGGGATTATGAAGTGACCCCTCAATAAGGGGGGTGCCTATATTAAATGGAATGGCTCATTTGCCGATAAACTGTTTTACACACAAAACAAATTGTTAGGTAATTTTAGTTCAGTCTGCAAATCAATTTGTTCAAATTAAACGGTAATTTATAAAACTTAGACCTTCGTTGAAAAGGAAAACAGTTCCTATTTTTAGGCAAAGGTTAAAGCAACAAAATTCAAAGCAAACTTGCCGTATATTTCACGATTTCCCATAGTAAATCAATTCTTCTCATTTCTTCAAACAAAATTGCTTCAAGCTTGTTGTTTATGAAACGATTTTCCAAATTCTTTTCTTTTAAAAGTGAAATCTTGCTTATCCCACTCCCATGCACAAGCAATCAGCCATATTTTTTAGATCAGTGAGGATGGCCACCCACTCAAGTTCGTTGGCATAGAGTAGAGACATACAGAGACGTAACTAGTGCACTTTTTTTGTGCGCATGCTTGGCAAGTTACTAGATGCATGCATCTGATTGGATGACGACTTGATGACGACTCACTTTAAACTTGCTGAGCACGCGCAGTTAATCATTTTTCGCCCGGTCGCCTGAAAAAAAATGGGTACATGATAACGTAATCTTCCGCAGTGTTTACAACGGTCAGTTACGTCTCTGTAAGTCTTATCTACTCTGTGTCGTTGGTCACGCCCGCAATATTTAATGAACTTTAGACTCCGCTAATGCTTTCGTTTTCCCGGGTGTAAATAGCCGCGGGGAATTAATACCCTCGCACGGCGCTTGGCGCCGTCGGCTCGGGGATTACCGTTTAATTTGAGAAAAAGTCTTAAAATGTAAAGGAGAACAAATTGATTTGAAGACTGATCTGAAATTACCTAACAATTTGTTTTATTTGTATAAAACTTATTATCGGCAAATGTACTGTAGTTTAGTTGAATGAACATTTCAAAACATTCTACGATAAGTTTCAAGTTAAATTTTACATTAATAAATTAAAGCTCACAAAATGCAAAATAATATACATACAGTATAAATTTCGGAAATTTATGGTTGTTAAAAGTACGAATCTTTCAACTATTTTGCAGGTTTGTACAAAAAATATGAAAAATAAAAAATTTAAGAATATCGTGTTGTCATGGCAACACTTGAGCGCGAGCCTGCGTTCAGTGTTGGTCATTTCTGAATACTTCATGTTAATTTAATGTTTGGAAAATATTGGCGAGGGATTACTGCATGCATGTATTTCTAGTAGTAATATACGGTATGTCAACTGACTTTTGTATAAGATATGACTGTCTGTTTATATATCTTTGAGGCCTCTAAGATATGTCTATTGTTAGCATAATATGAAATAATCCTACCGGCATACATTCATATATTCATCTGGCTGTGTCACTACATTTCAATTCAGAGTGTATTATGTTTTTCGATAATACTCACAATTAGAAATGTCAACAAATAGACCTTGTCTCCTCATCAGCATATTGCTCGGTTGTTCTGTGAGATGGGCAGCCTTGAAGGTGGCATTAAAACAATAATTGGAACAAAACCCAACTTAGTATTTTTATATGAACATTGTACAATATTCAGTGGCAAGCTAGCCATGGCAACTGGCCATGCTATGCTGATAAACCTGCATCTATTTGAATAATGCGAATCATTAAAAACTTGCATAGCATGACCTGTTGCTATGGCTAGCTTTACAACTGACAGTATTATAATTATACAAAAGCAAGAAGTTATAAGCATTGAAGATATATTCATATAAAACCGCCCATGCGAAGAAAGTAGAATTAGAACTTTTAGCCGCCCTTAGACTTTGTGCAAGATGTTTGATATTCAAATTGCACTTTTCCTACCTCCTAAACAGGCGTCTTAGGGGCTGTTTGCATGTAACCTGCGATCAGGCTCTATTTTACAAATAATAGCCTGACACAAACCTTACTCTGATCAATTTCCACTCACAGCAAAGTTTATATTTATTATCCAATCAAAATGTCGCAGGAGAAATTTAAATTTCACACAACGACAACAACAATCTAATTATAGTGGTGATCACGATAAAAAATATCAGCAACAATAGTACAATCTAATTAGCACCAACCAATCAAATGACATATTAAAAAATCTTTTGTCTCATAGACCAATCAGATTTACAACCGAAATACAGTACGGTTGTACGGTATGGACTTTTGTTGAGGTTTGTATCGGGCCTAAATATATAATTATTTATAGCCCTGGTCGCAGGTTAGCTTGCATGATGGAAGGAAGGATAATTTTGATGTATTTCAATATATTAGTCACTAGGCTAAACGAAAGTTCAAATGCTGGTTAGCAGAACTCAAATGTTATAGAGAAGATCTTGTGGTTCAAGAAGGTTATATTGTGCCTGAAGAGGCAACCTTTCATTTACAGCTAACTATAATCCATCTCTAGAAAAAGCTTTTTGCTGAATCATGCACCCTGACTTATTTAAGTACCGGTACATCAAAATCATCCTGCCTCATATATCGTCCTGGAAAAGCGTAGCCTGCGAACAGGCCCTGGGTTGCGGGCGGCGCGAAGAATAGAGGGCCTGCACGGAACTATAGGTTTTCTTGGTAGTGGCGTTCGTATAGAAACGCAGGCTTCTGATTGGCTTACACTCGTTGACAAAATTACTAAAAATAGCAAATGTCAACAACAGCATTTTGAAGAATTTGAACTTTGTTCATTTTAATATTATATATTATAGGACTATCGAACAAATAAAACTAGAAATGGAAACCAAAAGCAATAGCAAAGCATTACAGCAAAAAGTCTATAATAAATTACTTGAATCTATCGCTTAAATGCAATATACGAAACTATAACAGTATTCTGAATTTCGTCTTCGGATTGACATCAGACTATAGTATAGTACATTTTGAGGTCGTCGTGGCTTCACGGATTATTCTCATTAGTGAGCAAGTCAGCAAGCGAAGGTATACAAAAGATACCCAAATATGTACGAATAATTATATTGTTGATCCTCACTGGCATGTCATTTAGATATAAATATATATCGTACATCAAACGCTGTACTATTTACTGTATAAACTGCTGACAATTTCGTCGTCGATACGGCTTCCACCACTATACTTCCACTATTGGCACACTCGTGAGTTCCAAGAAATTAATAAATACATGCTCATTTATCATTTATTTAGACCACAGTTAGTAAAATTTTAGACGTATTCGGTATTCCAAATCCCAATCTATCTGACCGTATTTTAGTAATAGCTTCAAATATTCAGAACATTGTTCTTTCAGTCGCACATAGTACAAGTATTACTGTACATTGATTCAATGCCAATGGTAGTATTTTATTCGGCTTTATATTTGTATGTGTATTGATATCTATTTAATATTTGAAGAATTCTATATTTTTCCGAGTAATATTTTGTGCGGCCCGCTAATGCTTTGTATTATTGTACATTTTAATATTCAGTATTTCTTCGTTGCACAATGTACACGCCTTGCGTCAATTTGACAGTTGACAGTTTATTTATCGCAGTCGACGCTGATTGGTTCGCGTTTCGCAGATGCGAAAAGGGGATGATTGAATAAAACGCATGTTCCGTGCAGGCTCACCTTTCTCCCAGTGAGCCTGTTCGCAGGCTACATCCCCCTGGATATGATGATTCGCTTATACAAGGCTTACATTTTACCTCATTTGGAGTATCGTGGTCCATTATTGGTCGGAATTGGTAAGGCGGAGGAAAAGAAACTGGAGGACACAAACTATTATATCTGATATATCTTATTAAGAACTATTTTAGGACTGTCTTCGTCGGTGGAGTACGTATAATCATATCCATCTGTCTGGATGGATTACCTGGATGGATGTCTGAATGGATAAATTGTAGATAGAAAGTATCGAGTAGAATTTTTTTTACAATCAGATTTGCAAAGTCAATTTCAATACAGGACATTACAAAATCTAGACGTGCCGGTCAGCAACATGCATGTATTATTCTCTATAGTTTTTTTATATGAGTTATGATGAAGTGGTACAAAATCGTTGAAGGGTGGGATGGGTGGTAATTTCCAGAAAGTATTTTCCCCCAGTCCGCAGAGCCAGAGGTCACAGACTTTTGCTTGCAAGTGGCGCAATGATCAAACGAGTTAAAAGGACAAGTCATTGGGTCTAATGTTAGATGAGACGTTAAGTTGGAATAAACAGATGAACCCAATAACAAAAAAGTAAACAGAGGTTTGAATGTACCAAAATGGTTATCAGAATTCCTAGACCTTCAAACTTTACTAAGTACTAGATAAAACATGAGCATCCGATCTTTATCTGATCTCCTGCCAAACAACAAGCCTCGAAATCTTAAAAATAATATAATTTTTGTTATATAGTTAGTGTCAATGTTCAATTTTTCTGTTTTCCGAAGCGTATCACGTGCAAATCCGCAAAAAGTCCTGCCAACGAGTCCATGATAAAACATTTATTATATAATAACTACAGTGAAACAGGCAATTTGATTGGTCAATAGCCGTGCTGGATTAGGCTATAATTCTGCACGAGGAATTAAAATGCCGTCGCCGGATTCTCGAAATGTCATTGTCTCACTGTAGTTATTTTATAAAACAATTACCAAATGGTTTTCCAAGTAGGATCGCGTGGCCCATGCACTTGGGATGTTGCTCGACTTTCGAAAAGCGTAAAAATACACTCGCCTGCGGTTCGAGTAGCGACATCCCTCGTGCATGGATCACGCAATCCTGAATGGAAAACCATTCGGTATTCCTTTATTGACTGGTCAGCAATAAAATGGTGCAGAGCACATGCGGGTTAAACTTTTTTGTTAAACATTTACGGCGTTCCATTTATCCAGTTTTGGTTTCAAAGTTCACTTCAATAACCGGTGAATTATGTACTGTTTAATAAACGAGCACGAGTGTTTTATTACTCCGGGTACTGTAAGTACCGGAGTATTAAAATGTCAGATCTTTTTTCTTAGGCGACACAAGTGTGCACTCCACAGATGCACCGTACGCAACGCACTACAAAAATACGAAAAATCTAAAAATAGCCGACATTCGTAGTAAATCGGAGCGAGCGTTGTGTTTACAATGTATTTAGTTCTATTTACAGTAAATGTTATCAAATGGAGGGGTTCTCATACACTCGTTTTTATACAGTGACCACAGTTCATATAAATACAAATCGAAATTCGAGACTTTCTCGCGTGTTTAGTAGCGGTTGCCGTTATTGCAAAGCTAATTCTGATCGACAACTGGCTTGGTTCGTTAGCCCGGTATTTTTTAATTTTGTCAACACTGTACGTAGTTAAATTGTGTTAACACTCGTCACTCGTGTTCTTTAAGTCTCCCTTTGTGCCTCGTGGCCAAAATTGAAGTACAAACAACGCACAAATCTATTCGACATATGACATATCTGAAAGTCTTCGATTCGCGAGGCAATTTATATCGCAAACCACAAAAATATTGGCAATATTGTCTACCATGCTTGAATTTACGTAATAGTGTTGGGTAAAGCTATCTAGTTATATATATTTTATATGCGCTTTTGTCTAATAGACAAAAGCGCATATAAAATATATATAACTAGATAGCTTTACCCAACACTATTACGTCTATTACACAGTTTAATGTTTTATTTATAGAGTATTAAAAATCGGTCTCGACAGCTGCATTGTCTTGGTCTTAA